TTAGCTCGTTCGAAAAGCTGATCCCATCGCTGTCACCAATACATGTAACTGGTCAGGGGTTGCTAGTAAACAGGAGGGGGAACTAGGTCACAAGACTTTACTACCAAACAGAACGAATATACAAAAGATAACAACTATCAAATCGAGATATCATAATACCCCATACCCATATAATGATCTCTATCTCGTTTCAACGCGGAATGGTCTTTTTATACATTTGCGGATCTTTCCATCCTCGACCAATCCGCGATGACCTGGTGGCTGCACTTTCGGTGTTCCTATTGTCTTGCTGCAAGTGCTTTTTCTTTCGCTCGGCTCACGTTTCCGGTTCTTTGTGGAAACGAGACCTAGTGCCATTGTTTTCCCTACTTTTCCGATGGTGTGCGGGGATGGGGGTGGCTTTGGGCTGCCTCCACGTCGTTGCCGCCAGTGGTCTCTGACTGTTGCAATATAGTCTTGGACGCTTCTATAACTAGTCATTTAAATAAGTTAGATAACCAGATGAAGTCCTGCTCCGACGAAGTGAAATCGGTGACCGACAGGTATATGATAATGTGAGGGCAATTGTGTTACTTCGAGTTTCGTTAGAGCTTATTTGCCCGTCGCTAGCTCGCTCGTTCATGTTCTGCGACTGTATCTCGTAAGGGTCGCGATGTATGGCCGACGACACATCGATAGAGTTTACAGATTTTACATGGTCCTTTTCAGTTCTTACCTTAATCCGTGGATCTGAAAGCGAAGACCTTTAACTGTTATCGAACTCGGCAAAAAATTAATACTTTGTTCTATATATTGTTCTATATATATTTATTGCGTTAAATCGGAATCGAAATTTCGGTATAATTCCCATATTCTTTCAAATATAAGACCGAATAAAAAATACCTGGAAAATTCGAAACCTTGATGAATAAAAATAATTTTGCCCCGTGTTCGTAATATCACTATTACACGGACTTGTGAATAATTTGAAATAAAATGCATAAAAACGGTGTTCCCATAATTATGCGTTTCGTTATTCTGTCTGTCTACCTCTACCATCAAGCATGCAGCAACTAAAACATGACTGATTTATGCATTTATACCATGTGGAAAGAGGTGAAGGAGGGAAAAACTAGTAAAGTCAGTGGTCGGTGACCTAGACTTCAGCTCATTTTCACTCTGGTAGAGCAAAAACGAGTTATTCCTATCAGTATCAAATGCCAAAATAAGTATTTTCAATCAGAGGGTTCACGAACACGATTTCTAATCATGAATCCTGGTGAGTACGACGATGATCATTTTTAGTAATGAGCTGAAAACCGGTTTTAAATGTTTAAGTTTTCCATAAAACTAGTTTTTATGTCTTCAAACAGCATTTATACTAACAGTTAAATCTAAGAAAGTTCTTTTATCAGAAGACGATCCCCAAATCCTACCGTTTCGAATCAAGCATGAAGTATCAAGTTATATTTACTGGAACGTAGCCGAGAGCGGGAAGCGACTAATTAGATTCGTGCGTTCATAGCTATGAATGTTCTGCACAACCAGTAAGACAGTTGTTTGAGTCCGTGAAGCAGGTTGAGACGGTAAAGGAATTTGTAGCCCGGCAAGAAGAAAATTTTTATGCCTTAATGATAAACTTGTCATGCAAAACAACGCTGGACAATGTCTGATAATGATATATCAGTCTCGTTTACCCTCAAAACAGCACCTAACATTAAGCCCTTTAGCTTCTGGATAAATGATTTTTTTTGCGGTTCCATATTCTTTATACGAATAACTTTTCGAAAAATATGCTCGTCATATAAGTTTTATCATACCAGTTACAAGCTGTGAATGAAAAATCACAAAAAATGCTGAAAGTTTCGCTGCCACAACATCTTCCTGTGCTGCGGCTAGGTCAGGTTTGTCAATGGAACACATTTTTTCTACGACATCTGTGACTCAAACGCGTTACGAACCCACTCAGGATGAGCTGCAGAAATCTTCTCGACGATGGAATTCAAATGATCGCATATGGACTGAATCTGATGGTCCCAATCCAGAAGGGCCTCGTTCGCTAAACGAAAGCCTTGTGAATTTCGTCAACCAAAATAACTCGCATATACAGTTACAATCAAAAATCACACAGGCAGTTTATATCTTTGTATGTTTATAGACAAGATATAACTCTGATGTTATGGCGTAACTACCAAAAATGGTAGTTTTGCATGTTTCGTTAATAACTATGTAAAGCTATATAGTGTAGCCATCATGGCTTTTAAAAAATCTCGGATTTCAAAATTTACCAATGGCTTTCGAAGATATTATAGGAGACAACGTTTTAACTAGATTTAGCTTGATCTTCTGCAGGCCTAACATAACGAGAACAGTGATTTACAAATGGGGAACGAAAGCAAATATTACTGCTGCACGTTTCCCAAGATTTAAAGCAGATCATCGGAAAAGTGATCAGAGCTTGGTGTTTCAGCATAATGAACAAATAAATAACCTTACACAAGTGGTATCTTTAGCTTTAATGTGTTACACTTCTGATATACCAGTGTAAAGTTAAAATCAACCGTCATCACGAATCTTCAGCAGGCTGTGATGCTACCGAACATCTAACTATAACGACAATATAGATAATAAACGCTTAAACCTTACTCATGTCTGTGGAGTGTAACGTCTAGTTAATATTCTACCCATCCCAGACGAATCTTCTCTTAAAAATCTCGATAGATGTTCATTGACCGGAGTCTTAAGGTTATGCTTCGTTATCCGTATGGTGAATTTAGGACATTCATGGCAAGTTTCTTATACACGGCCCTGCCTACTGATGCGGTTTCGCATCCATGCACTGCAGGTACTCAGA